AAAAGCCACATGTGAATATTGAATGTGGTGACATCTGGATGAAATATTTCTATTCTCAATTGTTGGGGAAGCAATCTGGACAGAGGTAACTGCAGGGACTGCTCCTCCAATAAAGGCCAGAGCAGAGATAACTACGTTTGAGCCAGCCAATATGGAACAACTATCAAACACAACAAGGAATGGTCTAGATGATAAAAATTAACCAAGAGATTACTCTGAGAGGAGGGTATGCATATAGATGAAGGTCCCCTCCAATCCTGACTGAATGCATCTACCCCCAGAGCTGAGGAGTGTGGAACAGGAAACTAAAATGAAGGTAGTTTGGCATTCCAGTGAGTGGCAAACGCATCTATATTTGGTGTTTCTAGGCAATAACATGCCCACTGAAGTAATTGAGGATGAAAGGACCACTCCATAGGTAGAACTTGGTTGGGACGAGACAACGGGTTAGCCACCAGATTCATAATTCCAAGAACATGACATACTAAGATGGTTAAATTGTAATCATTGGCCCAGTACAGGATGTAGAGTATGTGAAAACAAAGAGACCAGGTGATATGGTCAGTGACTATGGAATTGTTGAAATGAACCATTACCACCCACCCCTGGAAGAGTGGGAGGAAATGAGACATAGCCCAACAAACAGTTAAGAATTGAGGGAGGTAAATATAAAATGTAGTTTCTACAACTAACTACTGCCCTGGAATCGAAGGAAATTTCCCAACCTTTCAGGAAGGCTCTGTGAACAGATGAGCATCAGAATGAGGCAGAGAAATGGGAACCCCCACTGTGGTCATTTCCCTGTCGAGCCACCATGCAAAGTTGACCCTAATCCCAGGAGGGAGGGTAACAGAATGATCCAAGGGATTGTGGGAGAAGTTCCACTGGTTAATAAATATCCATTGAAGGGAATGCACGTGTGGCCGACCCAAGGGAATGAGAGCTTCCTAGGAAACCCAGGTCTATCATGGGTCTCCAATCTCCAATCTTTTTGAGGACAACATATAGATGAGAGTAAAATCCCAGATGAGTGGGCAATACCTGTTTGATAGCTCCTTTGTGTAGGATGTCCTGAACCAATTTAGCAAGACAACTGGATGATGCAAGATCCTGAGGGATGGAAACATGGGAAGAGGATAGTGGAGAGGACCTGAACTGAGGGCAAAGACCCTCTGTCAGAAACCATAGGACCCATGGATTTATCGTGAAGATACACTAAAAGGTTGAAAACTGTTGCAACCTCGCTCCCACCTGCCCTGGAAAATACATCCCATCACCTGTACCACTGACCCATGGAGGAATTGGAATGGGAAAACAAGGTACAGGATGGGAAGGCCTGGAATAGGATAGCCCACAGGGGGAGGAAAGGGAATCGAGGCCCACTGGTAATCAAAAGAATATTGGTCCACTAATCGAGAGGAACAGGGCATACCCACACCCAACAGCAATTGATCAGTGAAATGTTGAGCATGAACGTGGATGTCAGGTGAGAGAGGAAAATATAATAATCAGAATGAGGTTCTTCATCCAACAAGGTCAAAGAAGAACCAAGGGTTAAGGGTGAAACATATAAAACTTGACATACATGATCAATAAGGTGTAAGAATGGTGAGGTCAGCAAGCTCTCCTGCCTGTGAGCATTAAGTAACTGACCAAAAATAGCCAGGGTCAGAAAAATAGAGTCCAAATTATCTTCAACCTGAATAAATTCTTCCTCAGAAGCTTGTTCAAGATGAAAAGGGGAACAAACTGACTGCCGAGCAAAACTGTCAAACTCCCTGTGAATTAAGGCTTGAACTTCCTTGGTAGGAACTTCAGCATCCACCACCATAAAATTGGAATTCATATTTCAAATCAGAATTCAAATTATGGAAGAATTATTTGAAAAACAAAACTAAAATTCGAAAGCAAACACTTTGAGTTTAAACTGGTGAAGTACTGAAATGAAATCACAATGAAAAAGCAGGCACATGGAGTGAAGTAAACACACATCTATACACTGTAATGTCAATCAAGAAAATGAGGATTGTGCTAGAATAGTAGAGGAAGCTACCTGTGCTAGTATAGGTGGTAGAGTATGACTGGTGGAGGGTAGTCACATGATATGCAAGTTCTGAAATGGCACGAAAATAAACAGTATAACAGACAAGTGTGCTATTAATGAAAAAATATTTTAGCAATGCTTAGAGGGCAAATCAAGGTCGAGATAGCTTTGGGTTAGAAAAGGTAGTACATTTTGTAATTTGTTCTAAATTTCTAGAATGAACAGTTATGAAAGGAGACCTAGAGGATTATTGATGATCAAGAAAGTTGGTCAAATAGGACATGAGAATATTGAAAAGGGTATGTGAGAAAAAGTTGGCTGAAAATGTGGAAATTAGCAGTAAGGATTTCTTTATATGCATCAAGGATACATAGAATGATAAAACAGGACTAGAGTCTATGAGGGATGATAAAGGAAGGCTCATTTCTGATGATTGTGGGATAGCTGAGTTATTACATTCTACTTTGTCTTCAGTTTTTGCTGAATATTTGAGCAATATTTTATGAAGCTATCATCTGTGGGATTATGACTGGACAACTCTAAGTCATGAAGCTGAATTATCCTCCTTATAAGCATGGTGAAGAATACCTTTCAAAGAGAGCATCTTATGGGTTCAAAAACAGATGTTATCCACTGCTGAACCACAAGGGGAGATGTGGGGGGGCACCATATGATCCGTAGACAACCTGGTATGGATCGTTAATGGTCAGTGTGCCGTACTTAGTTCAGCAACCACTTTAGCACAGTGAATAAGTGGCAAATAGTTTATGATTATAATAATTGTAAAATAATACATGTGAATTATTATAATTTAAATTATAAATACATTTTTGATAGGAATATCCATAACAGTGTTATGGAAGAAAAAGAAATCAATGTTCTAGCTGATCAATCTCTTAATTAGCTTTGGCATAAATACAAATGGGCAAAGCCTCATCAGTCTCTTAAATCATCCAAATTGTGTGCTGTTGATAGTGATAGGGCAAATAGTATTATGTGTTGTATCTACAGAAATATTGAATATAAGTCTAGAGAAGTTGTTATTTTATTGTATGTGTCACTAGTTAGAATTTGGAATATTGTGTTGAGTCTTGGGTTTCTTACCTTAGGAAAGACATTTAACTGTAGAAAAAGGTTCTGAAGAGGGCTACTAAGATGATACTGGGATGGAAAGACTGTCATATGAGGTTAGATTAAGATCTCTGAACTTTATTCTCTTGAAAGAAGAAGAACTAAAGAATAGTTGATTAAGATGTTTAAGGTTGTTATGGGAATTGACAGTGTCCATGCATCATTTTCATATTTAATGGTGAGAACAGTAGGACAAAGGGACACATATAAATTGTGGCAGGGTAGAAGTCATCTTCAGCTAAGTCAGCTCTATTTTTCTAACAGGGTGGTTTACCTTTGGAATGCATTATCTTCAGATGTGATGGATACATTTAATCTAAGGAAGCTTAAGGGAAAGCTGGATAAATATTTGAATGATAATGGTTGGCTCTGAGTGTTTTATTTTCATGTTAAAGTTTAGTTTAGTAGATGGGATGGTTTAGATGTACCAACAGGTCTCTTGTTGTCCTTTTATGTGATAAAAATATTTAATCAATATAAATTATGGCAGGGCAAGAGTCATCTTCAGGTAAAATATTTTTAGTTTTCTAATAGGGTAGTTTGCCTTTAAAATAGGTTGCTTTCAGATGTGGTAGATTCAAGAAATTTAAGGTAGTTTAAGGGGAGGCTTGATAAATATTTAAATGATAAGGGCTGGCTTTGAGTTCTTCTTTTTTTTTTTATTTAGTAGTTTGGACAGTCTGGATGTACCAATAGGTCCCTTGTCATCCTTAAATTTTATGTTATTATAGGTTCCATACAGTTTTAGTTTGTCCATGCATGATCATAAAAATTTGGCATACAACATATTACACCTAATAGTCAGTCAATAAAATTAGTCTTTAATATTATTTCTTAAAAGATTTCATGCCTTCCTGTAATTCTTGGTCAATTTTTAAGAAAACTTTTAATGTTTAAATAACTGAAAACCTAACATCTGCTGTGAAAGCTTATAGTGCTTCCTCAGCTCTCTTAGCTTCTGTGCATATATCAATGCACCCACCCATCTCCAAAAACATTAAATTGTGGCAGCAATTACAAATATCAGGTTGCAAAAAACATAATCAAAGAATAGGATTTATTTATGATTGGTAATAAAACCCTAAAGATATCTGAGTATTCAGATACATGTAGTAAAAACAGCAAAGAGAGTTCTTAATTCTATTTATTGTAAGGATATTATCAGAATTATTTTAACAAAAAAACTACAAAATATTAGATTGTCTAATAGCAACTTATTACATTTCAATGCCTGTAACATTTGTGTGATACGCAAGCGTGTGTATCGATAAACTAGTATACCAAACACAACTTCTCTAATAAAGGCATATAAAATTAAAACCATAATGGGTAGCATTTATAATTATATCCTAAAACCTATATATGATGCTAAGACCCTAGCCGACACTGCTTTAAAAAGCATGAAGTTTTAACTGGTAGTTTTTGTTTTATTCCATGATTAACTAATACCAACATGTTTTGTGTTACAATTTAACTATTTTTTTTCAGCAGTGTCAATCTATTGGAAGAGTCTGTGATTATAAAGTATAATTACAGTTTACACTTAATTTAGAGTGAATGACACCGTACATGCATTTCACAAAATGAAACAAAAATAAAAAGACCTTAACAACAAAACAAGCCAAGCTTGGTTTATAGGGTTTTCTAGTTTTGTCTTTTTGATTTTCTGAACCTATGTATTTTCTAAAATCATGAACATTTCACATTACTAGCCAATAATAACTTATGTTCCTCTACTATTTAGTATATCTAGTTATTACCTAATTAACTAATACAACTTTAATATTGCAGAATATTATGAGGTACTGTCAAAATGTTGACTTACTTGAAGGATAAGTGGTTCAGGATTAATAACCATACTATACACAACATTTGCAATAATCTCCCCTTCACTTTCTTGCAAGTCTTTGTGTAAGGTCATTTTACTGAGTGTTTCTCTTACATTTTCATGAATATGTTGAATTAACCTTTGTGAAGGGCAGCTTGTTATATCTGTTAGTCCTTTAATTTTTTCAAGTACTTTGTTATAAATAGTCAGCACAGATGTTAATGCCACTGGTAAATGAAGCACCTCTAAAGATAACGTTTTCATAGCTCTTCTTACGTCGCAGTTTTCAGGCAAATCATTTAGTTTGCATATTGTTTTGTCACCATTCCACAGTTCCCAGTCATGTGCAAGTTTTTTTACAACCACTTTTGTTTTATTAAGTTCACCAAAGTAAACATTTTTAACATTTAAAAGATATGTTAAAGTACATATGCTTGTCCAGCCTACAAGTTTAAGTTGTTTGTGTTCGTATATCGAGCATAAACTGAATTCAAAACATGCAGGGCACAGATTACTTCCTGTGAAATATGAATTTGAAATATCGATATAAAAAGTTTGGCAAGTTAAGATGAACAATAAATACACAATTAAAGATATGAATAATATACATAATCCCACAACCTTTCTTCTTTTAAAAAATTTCATACGTCTACGTTGTAATTGTATTGATCTTACTAAGTTAGTAAGTAGGATGTACTTGCAGATCTGATTGATGCCTTTTTTTCTGGTTAAAAATATAAGTATTATTAATTAAACAGCCATTAATCGTTAATTGAGCCTACTCATAATTTATAAGGTTAAAATTTCCCCGGTAGTAGTATTAATAGTAACAATTATCATACTTTAAATTCATATATATAAATTAAAAAAGATATAATACACAAAATATACAGCTCGTGATCTCATATTCGTACTTTCAACGAGAACTAAATTGAAGAAAATTACATGTAGTAAATAATGAACTACGCCCTCTTACCATAACCACTTTGAACTCTGCATTTTTTGTATTTATTTATTTATTTGTTGTTATTTTATTGAGCCTTAAAGTAGACTATTGTTATAAGCTATAATTTTTAAATGTTGTAATTTGTTGGCTACAGAAAGCTGCGTGACATAATAAAGACAGCGTGATAAGCCTAGAAAATTATAAAGCTATGACGTCAGGTTTTCTACTATCTAGTACCTTCGAGGGTAGATTATATATTCAAGATAGTTGAGGGATAGTAAGAGTTGTTTTCAAGATAAATAGTAGATCATTCAGTGTACTTTCGTTTCAGTCGTGAATTGGCACAAGAAAGTTTATTCTTTACGTCAGTATGATGCAGTTAGTGTAACTTGTAAAGGCAACCTACAAGTTCCAAAGTATTCAAGCTTTAAAAAAGTTAACTAACAAATATAATAAATTTGATAGTGTTACGTCTCCGTTCGTTAGTTAATTTTCCGTAAATTCGTTCCGACGAAAC